AATACAAATTGGTAACCCTCTGGGTAGCTGTAGGTACTGCAAGACCATGGCTGTCTCAGTGCCAACCAAGAGTTAATAGGAATAGGAAGTGTGCTGCTCTGAGTGACCGCAGCAGACCCTTGGGATGCTTAATTTTGTCTTATATTGTACAAATTTCTTACACAATGCCTCACCCAAAGAGACAGTTTATGCGTACAATCAGCAAGAAGCTCATGAATCTATTAGAAAATATGAAAAAAAGCTAGAGAAATGAAGAAGATACCTGCATAGAGTGAGGCAGCTGGCCGCCGCCGCCACCACCACTATGGCCACAGTGATCATGTCTTCACCCATATATACATCTGTCTTGACCACACCTGTGGTTACATGTGGGACAACACCACCACTAATCATAGATAAACACAAGCTAGGTGTGGGGCTATAGACAAGGAAGATACTAGAGTGGGAGAGTAAACGGCAGATGTTTTCTGCAGCTGCCGGCATCGCCATCACTTGCCATATTATGGCCTAGCGTATATATCATGTTTCTATGTTATTAATATTGCTTATTATGTCATATTAGATGAATTGTGATAGATAACTAAGCCGTAGAGTTGATATTAGCATTGTTTTGTCATGCCTCCTGAGAGGCTGGAATGGATTAATTGCATTTCAATTAATTTAAATGAGGAAAATTGACTCAGCATGCAAACAAATCAGGATACAAACAAGGTCATGGAACGGATTAAATTCGTAAGCTGAGGTTCCTCTGTATAGTTAATTTGTGTAATCATCACCCCATTTATTAAGCCCTTTTTCTCTCTGTGTTTCTTCTTTACAAACTTCATCATTTGATTTACCTCCCTTTTATACTGATGCTCTGCTTACTTTTCCATCCCATCTTGGGAAGCTCCTACATTTCGTGCTTGCTCTTCCCCACTACTAAGTGCCAAAGCTCACTTGCCTACAATGACTTCATGCCCATTGTTTATTGAACACTCCCTTTCTTATTCTCATGCTATAGTAGTGTATATTGATGGTTCTAAATCTCCTGATGGTGTCGGCTATGCAGCCATTTTTCCTGACAGAATAATCCATGGCCATTAACCCTTCCAGGGTTGGTGCCGTACTAGTACAGCTTGCACGCCAGGGTTGGTGCCGTACTAGTACACATAAATTCTAGCACCTTCAAATCTAGCGAGAGAAAGCTGGTAGGCCTACATATGAATGAATGGGTCTATGTGGTCAGTGTGTGCAGTATAAAAGAAATCCTGCAGCACACAGTGCATAATGAGAAAAAAAACTCCGACCACGTTTTTGGTTTAAAACAGCGACTTTGCAGTGTATTTTCGTATGCTATTTATGGTAGTATTCTAGTTTTCCTGGTCTCATTTTATAGAATGGAAGACATATTATGGAAATTGAGATGATTTTGATTGGTTTCACAATGAAAAGTACCTTGAAATTGAGCTCGTAGTAGCAGAAATGTTCGATTTTTACCAAATTTCAAAAGTAAACAAATCATGCCAAGCGTCCAATACACGTCAACTGGTGAGTCTAATATTCTTTCACAAGTGCACTGATATTATTTATACCATTTCTACATCATTTCTACACTAATGCAGTAGTCTGCATAACAGCACAAGAGATGTATTATTATTATTATTATAATCAAAAAGAAGCGCTAAGCCACAAGGACTATACAGCAACAAGAGATGTAAGAGGGGCTTGGGGATGTGACTAATGAACAGATAAAATGTTATTTTAGTGCTAGGAATATCTGTCTTGCTTATTCTGGACCCTATTTGGAAATTGGCATCTTCTGAAATTTATGTGAAATTAGCAAAACTGCCAATTTCTGACCACTTTATTGGATACTTGAAATCGGTAAATGGGTGGTTTCGTGTACTCATTCGATAGAAAAAATGGAGTTCTAGTGAAATAGATATGATTTTTGTCAACTAGTAGATTGAAATTGGCAGAAAACAGGGCTCAAAAAGGGTGTAATTGCCGATGCATCAACATCATCAAGACCGCTAAATTCGCGAGAGCATAATTCCATAAGTTTTCCATCAAATTTCATACTTTTGGTGTCATTATGATCGGGAGTTTAGGAGAGGGCCTATCGACCCTGAAAGGGTTAACATTTCCCTAAAATGGGACACAACATTGTCATTGTAAAAGTCACCAGCACAGTTTGCAACAGCTGTGTCAGGGTAATATTCATCCATAAGGGCTTGCACCTTTGTCCACATTGTACAAATGTCCTTAATCGTTGAAGAAGGCAACTTCCTCCATCGCTCTCCCTCCCCTCCTCTAAAGCAATTTCCTCAGCTGTGGTCTGTTGCTGTTGCAGATGTTCTTTCTTCAATTCGATAGTATTTCTCACCCTTTTTACCACGGGGTTGGCACTAGAAGCTTTCTTTGGGCCCATGGTGGCTTATTTAGCAGTTACAAGCACTAAAAACAATGGAATAATACATAATATATCGCATGTATGCATGGAACTGTCCACCCTGGCTTGTAAACAATGGCACACTGCCTGTACATAGTGGCCGGGCGGAATGATGAGATTTGAGGGTCCACTTATAAAACAATAATATCATACTTACCTTTAATGAAGACTCTTGTTGGTGTATGGAAAACAGGAGGGGAAAAGATGGAGAAGTAACACTATTGTTTGGAAGGGAAATCCCCTTCTGTACAGACTTTAGGTACCAAGTCCTTATCCTGGGTTACTTCCCTTCTTTGTTTTTTAATGCCACTTGGGCCAACTTGAGAGTCACTGGACCCCTGTCGCTCAAAAAATTGTTCCAGACAGCTCTGTTGTGTTTTAAAATTTGCCTCAAATGGGACAAGACATTGTCATTGTACATGTTGCCAACACGGCTTGCAACAGCTTTGTCAGGGTGATGTTCCTCCATAAATATTTGCACCTCACTCCACTTTGCACAAATGTCCTTAATCTTTGAAGGCACCTTCTTCCATCTCTCTTCCTCCTCCTCTGAAGCAATTTCCTCAGCTGTGGTCTGTTGCTGTTGCAGATGAAGGTTTTGCAGTTGTTCAGTGGTTAGCTCTCGATTGTGGTCCTCCACCAACTCTTCCACATCCTGGCCACTCACATCCAATCCCATGGAATTCCCCAATGTCACAATTGATTGCACAACAGGTGTAGGGTCGACAGGGTCAGCCTCAAACCCTTCAAAATCCTTCTTTTGGACACATTCTGGCTGCAGTTTTCTCCAAGCAGAGTTCAAAGCCCTGGAAGTCACTCCCTGCCAAGCCTTATCTATAAGGCTTAGGCAGTTGAGGATATTGAAGTGATCCTTCCAGAATTCTCTTAGGGTCAACTGAGTGTCTGAGGTCACATCAAAGCACCTTTGAAACATTCCTTTGGTGCACAGTTTTTTGAAGTTTGAAATGATCTGCATTTCCATGGGCTGGATGAGAGGAGAGGTATGAGGGGGCAAGAACTTCACTGTGATGAAAATAAACTCCACCATTTGGTCATCCAAGTCTGGAGGATGAATAGGAGCATTGTCCATTACCAGGAGGCACTTGAGTGGCAATTTTTTTTTTCCAGGAGGTATTCCTTCACACTCGGGCCTAACACTTCATTGAACCAATCAAGGAAAATTTCCCTTGTGACCCATGCCTTACTGTTAGCCTTCCACATCACACATAATTTACTCTTGGTGACACTGTTTTTCTTGAACATCCTGGGATTTTCAGAGTGATATACCATTACAGTAAAGGCTTCACTTTGAAATCCCCACTAGCATTAGCACAGAACATAAGAGTTAGCCTGTCTTTCATATGCTTGTGTCCTGGCAGTGCCTTTTTCTCCCACGTGATGTAGGTCCTCTTTGGCATTCTCTTCCAAAAGAGGCCTGTTTTGTCACAATTGAACACTTGAGGGAGGACGAATCCTTCAGCCTCTACATAGTCTTTGAATTCCTGCACAAATTTTTCAGTCACACATTTGTCAGAACTGGCAGCCTTGCCATGCGTTACTGCACTGTGTAAGCCACTACCCTTCTTAAATCTCTCAAACCAGCCTTTGCTGGCCTTAAATTCACTAACATCAGCATTCGTTCCAGGCATTTTCTTCACGAGATCAGTATGCAACTGCCTTGCATATTGACTGCATAACACTATCTCCTGCTAATTACTTTTGGTTGATCCACACTAACAACAAATTCTCAACATCTTCAAGTATTTGCGATCACTTTTTGGTGAGCATATATACCCTTTCGCAACAACAGCTTCCTTGATTTCCTTTTTCTTCGACACGATGGAAATCATCATTGAATGGGGCTTCCTGTACACCCTGCTGATTTCGACCACACGCACTCCACTTTCATATTATGCAATTTCTTTCTTTAATTCTATTGTGTTTCTCACCTTCTTCACCAAAGGGCTGGCACTAGAAGCTTTCCTTGGGCCCATGGTGGCTTATTTAGCAGCTGCAAGCACAATAAAGAATGGATTATTACAAAACGTATCGTATGAACACGTTGGGTGATGATCACTCATTCACAAACAATGCCACACTGACTCCTGAATGCTGTGTGGGAGCCTTTGTGTATGCACGGACACATTCCATGTGACAGATGAACCACGAGGCAAATCACGAACCGCGAGGCTTTAGACAAAAAATGTTGCCGAAAGTCGAAATTCATGAAGAGTGAGGTTCATGAAACTTGGGGGCCCACTGTATTATATTCCTGGAAAGTGCTAAACCCATGGGGGTTATTCAGCTCTGCATGGCATGAGAGAAAAAAATGGTGAAGGAGACAAGGTGGTTCTGAGGGAAGGATATTAACATAAAAAATTAAGTTGCAGTTAAGGCTGCTAATCTGTCAGTTAAGAAATCCTATAATAGGTCTTGCAGTAAATGACACACATCAGTCTCTATTCCACTCATACTTTCCCATCTCTGAAGCTGTCTTTTTTTTAATACTAAATTTTCTCTGAAATGAAAGATTTCCATAAATGAGTGTTAAATGAAACACCTGAGAATTATTTTACAGCTCATATAATTGATAAATTAGATGACTACACCAAATAATCAAACCAATGTTCACTGATTATATACCTTATTATTAACAGTCACTTTATCAAAATATAAAAGATATTCCTCAAGACAATTTTATGCATCAAACATCAAGGAATAAATCACTCCAGTATTCTTTAATAATATATTCAATTACTTTCTCAATATGATATGATGTTATCACAATATCCCAGTGATCAGTCTTTAAGCCTTTGGTAAATACTCAGCTTCTGAAGAATTTACATGACATAATATGATCTTTTATAAAATTTCTTTGTAAAAATTTCCATGTAAAACAATTATGTATATAAATTCAAATTTGAGAACTTAAAGTGCATAAAACCTTTCATGTTACCACCCATATATTTGAAGGTTAATATCCAATTTGCTCACTGAAGCTATGACCCTGATTTATGCACTACCTAAGGCCTAAGTTTATGTAACAACTGTAGAGGTAACAAAGATATTAATAGTAATATGTTAATCAATATAAATTGCAAAATCTTACCTATATGTAAAAGGAACAATTTTTCATTTACATGCACAATTTACCACAAGCACCAAACCATTATGAATAATACTTGTTACATGACATATTATAAGGCAATGGCGCATCATGCCATATAAAGACAACTATTAATGTCAAAAAAGAAATATGGACAATGTTTCCAAGTTATGAAGGCAAACACAGAGAAGCTTTTCCTTCGTAGCTGCGCATCTTTAGAGATATAGTACATGCAATTCTCATTGTTCATAACTAATGCAGCAATCAATACATTGGCAAGATCTATGAAGTCTGCAATGATTTTTCTGTATGTTCACAAGACAAAGTATCAAAGCTTAGAAATTCTAAATTTCCGACCCAAGAGAAAAACTGTAGTATATACAGAAATATGTATTATAACAATTATAGTCTTCATGCCTTTCATGCATGAATAGTAAAGTCATCACTAATAGGCATCACAAACGGTCATATGAACTTTTAAACAACCTGTCCTTATAAGCTGGCAGTTTAGTAAGTAAACAACCACAAAACAAACATGACCAAATGTTAGTACTGGAACCTTTTTGTAGTTTTTGTGGCGAGGCATCATGGTGAGGAGGAGGAGGCGGTGCACTAATGAGAGGCGCTGTAATGAAGTTACTGAAGGGAAGCGACCTCCAATGCCGATGTGTTAGAGGAAGGTGACGCAGGAGGCGAGGTCTTGCAGCTATGTGTGCTTTCCCTCACGTTGCCTCTTCATGGCCACCAATCACCTAATATACAAAAACTAATCAGTAATTTTTTCACCATTATGCTGTAAAGTTATTTTAAGTGTAGCTATACTGCTTTAGGAACATGCTAAACTTATATGCATAAAATGCAAAACAAAAGACTAAAAATAAAAAAAAAGAGACCTATATAATACACAAAGCAAAAATTCAGAAAAATAAAAATGAAAACAAGTTGTAAGTGGAAAATTTAAAGTCAGCTGAGGAGCTAGCATTTACACTACCCTAAAAAGGATTCATTAATTTTTTAATGCATTATACGTACAGTATTGCAAAATTCCCCAAAGTATTTAGTGTTTTGTGTAGTCAAAAATGGCACTGTAAACAGAAGTGTTAATTACTGTACATATTATTTGTTCTAAAAAACATACGTTGATACAAGTGGTACAAGATGAGAGGAAACTTCAGTCTACTGAAAAGTGGATTTTAATGTCAAAACCTTGAGCTATTAACCCTTTAACTGTCCAAACGTAGATCTACGTTCGCTCGCGAAGCACTCCAAACGTAGAGCTACTTTCTTTTTACATTCTTTCTTAGGGAGAAAAACAAGGTTGGAGCGCTACGCGCGCAAACATAGATCTACATTTGGAAAGTTTAAGGGTTAACAAGGCAGTATCTTGAGAAGATAAATTTACAACAAATGCAACAGTCAACCCTGCACTCATGCTACACTCATTGCAATCACTCACCGGCCAATTTCCACCAAGGCAGGGTGGTCCGAGAAAGAAAAACGTGTATCATCATTCACTCCATCACTGTCTTGCTAGAGGGGTGCTTTACACTACAGTTATAAAACTGCAACATTAATACCCCTCCTTCAGAGTGCAGACAATATTTATCTGATATTTAAGTTTGCTAATTTCTTAGTCAAGAAGAATGAAGCCAGTTTTTACTTATGGAGAACAAGGATCCATCTCACTTTTATTGATCAATGTCAATAACACAAGCAAGCATTACTCTACATCAGCAGTCTTACTGTGAATGAATCACTAGTATTAAAGATATACAAATCCGTCATATCTTCCAACTTATTAAGTGTACTGACAGTAACATCCATCATATCAACTAAATGTTAAGATTTTGATGCTTGAGAACTGACAGAAATGTTTCAAGGCAAAATAATCATAAAAACCAAACTAACATGCATGTTTCTACAAAATTATAAGAACTTCAGCATTTTAGGAATCAGTAAAAAGAACTTAACACATTCAACAAAAAACTGTATTTATAATTAATTGCTTAGCATTGCTGCTGTTTATTTAAAATGCATATTTACTGCATACAAGAGATATTCATGACCTTGTAAAGTGATTCTAAACTAAAAATGCATTTCTACTGCATACAAAAGCTATTCATGATCTTGTAGAGTGATTCTAAACATTCTAGCTTTACCATTAACTTAGTATGCATGTCTTCTGCCGAGCCTTACTTTGATGAGTTTCAAGAGTTTTTCTAATCCTAGAGCCCAGCTGTAGGCCATACTTGTCTGATCCTTGCCTGGTCAACTAGGCAGTTGCTGCTGGCAGCCTGATAGCCCAGATATCCATCACAGCCTGATTTTTTTAGTACAGTGGACCCCCGCTTTACGATCAGCTCCCAATGCGACCAATTATGTAAGTGTATTTATGTAAGTGCGTTTGTACATGTATGTTTGGGGGTCTGAAATAGACTAATCTAATTCACAATATTCCTTATGGGAACAAATTCGTTCAGTAATGGCACCTGAACATACTTCTGGAATGAAATAATATTGTAAGCCGGGTCCACTGTACTTAGTGGAGATACTTGTCCAGCAGTGTTGCAACTGCAAGATGCTCCTCCCCAACTGTCTCTTCAGGCTGTCGGCCTGGCAATGCTAGCGACAACACACTGCTCTGTACAACTGTACCCATGAAATCTAAGGTTCGCCTACAAAAATATTATTACCCCATCAGATATTCATTCATCCCTGATCTCTGGTGCCAGCAGTAAAACCCTATCATCACAACAATATATTCTAAACATAGTGTTTCTGATATCCTCTGGTAAGATGTTGAACAACCTGGTACCACGGATGTTGATACAATGCACTCCTGTTGTGCCCATGGCACCCCTACCCTTCACTGGGTTTATCTTACATTTCCTCCCATATTTCTCACTGCAGTATGTGATGGCAGTACGCAGATTTAGAAACAGACCCTCAATTTTTGGTAAGCAAAAATTGCCGGCAGTTGGAAAAGAGAATTTTTTCATTATCAAATGTGTCTAAAATGCCTGATAACATTAAAACACTATCACATATAGTGAGTGCTCAATACAGCTAGGTATAAAGAGTAAAATAAAATAAATACACAGCACATACAATATTTTATTATTATTAACAAAACGGCTGTCTCCCACCAAGGCAGGGTGGCCTGAAAATGAAAAACTTTCACCATCATTTACTCCAGTCTTGCCAGAGGCATGCTTACACTATAGTTATAAAACTGCAACATTAACACCCTTCCTTCAGAGTGCAGGCACTATACTTCCCATCTCCAGGACTCAAGTCCGGCCTGCCGGATACCCTGACTCCCTTCATAAATGTTACCCTGCTCACACTCCAACAGCATATCAAGTCCTAAAAACCATTTGCCTCCATTCACTCTATACAGTGATCCCTCGTTTATCATCCTTAATCCGTTCCTGGAAATGGGACTATTATCGAAATAGACGATTTTCAAATCAATTTTCGCCATAAGAAATAATGTAAGTACAATTAATCCGTTCCTGACACCCAGAAGTATTAACCCTTTCAGGGTCCAAGGCCCAAATCTGGAGTCACGCACCAGTGTCCAAGAATTTTCAAAAAAAAAATTTGTTATTTTTTCTTATGAAATCGTAGAGAATCTTTTTGTAAAGGTAATAAAACAAAAAGTACGAAATTTGGTGGAAAATTGACGAAATTATGCTCTCGCGAATTTTGATGTGTCAGCGACATTTACGAATCGGCGATTTTGCCGACTTTGACTCCCATTTTAGGCCAATTACATTATTCCAATCAACCAAATTCTTAGCTATTTCACTAGTATTACTTCTATTCAATCGATTGAGCACAAGAAATCGCCAAGTCAACTGTTTCAACTACAAAATAAAGTGATCGGAAATTGTTAATTTGGCCAATTTAACACAAAGTTCAAAATATTCCAATTTCAAAATAGGGTCCAGAATAAACAATGTAGGCATTCCTGGCACTAAACTAACGTTTCCTCTGTTCATTAGTTATGTTTTGAGGCTTTACAAATAAATTCCATTTTGATTTTTTATTCACATAATGAATTTTATTTCACAACCAAAAAATAGAAGATTTACTGTTATGCAATACTGTAATAATTGTATAGATATCATCACCATATTTGTGAATGTATATTAGACCCACCAGCTGACGTGTATTAGACGTGTGAGGTCGTTTGTTTACTCTTGAATATCGGCAAAAGTTTAACATTTCCGCTACTTTGAGCTCAGTTTCAAGCCATTTCCAGTGCTAAAACCAATCAAAATCATCTCTATTTCTGTAATATGTCTTCCATTCTATCAAATGAGACCAAGAAATCGCAAATACAACTATAAAAAACATACGAAAAAACACTGCAAAGTTGCTGTTTTAATCGAAAAATCATGATTTAAGTTTTTTTTCTCTCATTATACACAGTGTGCTGCAGGATCTGTTTTATGTGGTGCACACATACCACATAGATGTATTCTCTCATATCTAGGCCCAAATGTACCACTCACAGTTTATCAGAGTGAGCTGAGCTCATGGCGTAGATCTACGGTTTGGACCCTGAACGTAAAGCCGTAGATCTACGGGACGGACCCTGAAAGGGTTAAAACAAAAAAATTTTTTGCATGAAATATAGATGTAGTATATAAAACAATACAATGGGACATGATGAATGAAACATTAACCCTTTCAGGGTCCGTCCCGTAGATCTACGGCTGGTCGGTGAGTGTCCAAACCGTAGATCTACGCCAAAATTCTAGCGCCGTCAAATTTAGCGCGAAAGCGCTCATAGGCCTACATATGAGAGAATGGGTCTGCGCCGTGGGTGTGCGCCGTAAACAAAAAATCTAGGCGCCTGCATAGCATTGTGGGAATGCCGGCTCAGTCACCCTTGTTCACCATGCCTCGTCGCAAGTCAGCTCTCACTCCCCGGAAAATTGGGACTCTCCTCTTCCTGTCTGATAGTTCTGACACTGATGGAAGTGGAAATGAAGACGAATTCTACGGCTTTGATAAGTTAGTGACCGAAAATAATGACCAGGATATCGATAATAGTGCAGAAAACCCCGACGATCCTCGACCTTCTACCTCTGGTGTGGGCACTCGTGACTCACGGTCGGGTGTTCCTAAACGTAAGAGAAAACTAATATTTTCCCGTGGCCTGGCCTCTGACTTCAGTAATGACGATGATTCTGACGTGGATTGTGATTTTATTGCGCTCGACGATCATTCGAGTAGTGATAGTGAGGAAACATATTCACCAGTGAAGCATCGGTATGTTCGCCGCCGCATGCGCTCGGGTAGTGTACCCTATGCTGTGCCCAGGGGACGGAGTACATCCCGGAGTACATCCCGGAGTACATCCCGGAGTACATCCCGGAGTACATCCCGGAGTACATCCCGTGGCCCTACACCCGTTTTAGGTAGTGATAGTGAGGATGATGTGGCTACACTTGGCATGGATGGGCCACAGACATCAGTGGATGGTGTTAGTGGGGCTGGTGGTGGTAGTGGCACCGCCATGCATGACTCGCTGTGCCACGCGGGGACCCACGCTGCTGACTCGTCAGTTCAAGGACAAAGCGGAGCGTCACCCACCAGCCCGCCACAACCACCCGTACAACCAGCCTATGATGTCCAGTATCCACCAGCAAACCGTATCTGGGATTGGCAGCAAAATCCCAATTTTGTTCCCAGCCCTCACCACTTTGATGACTCTCAAAGTGGAATTCTACCTACCTGT